GTTCTGTGAAGTTAGTATTGTTCACTTGCTAACTAATCTTTTTTTAATACTCCCTTATACCTCTTTTGGTGGTGGTCGTTCTGCATTGCTCTGTATGTCTTATATACATGCCTTTTATTTTTGTATTACTTCTGTTCTTGTACTTAATCAAATTGTCTCTGTGGTTACATTGTTCTTATTGGTCATTAACTCAGTAACATGTACCTGTTTTGTAGGGTGTAGAATACAAAATTGGGAAATTTCCATTTGCTGCCAACAGCAGAGCAAAGACAAATGCCGACACAGATGGCATGGTGAAGATACTTAGTCAGAAATCAACAGACAGGATGTTGGGTGCTCACATTTTAGGCGCAGTAAGTATTGTAAATTGTGCTGCTGTCTTGGCCTTTTAAGAGCCTTTTATTTAGTGTTGCACAGTTGCAAAGTAGTTGTCAAGTTAGAAGTGCTTGTGAAAAGGAGGAGGATTTGAGTTTACCATAGTTACTTTTATTTACTGACCTCTTCTGTAGCCCTGCCCTCCTCCCTGTCTTCTGTTACTTTGGTCTTACACCCAGCATATTTTTTTTTTTTTTTTTTTTCCCCTGAGAATTGATAAGGTTAATTGGTTTCTCTGACCAAGGGTTTGGATTTTTTTCATGAATACTGCCAAATCCTCAAGAGAACAGCAGAAATAGTTGACTGAAGTTCTCAAGTTCTGGAAGCTGAGGGAGCTGAACAGACTGTGGCTGTGGTGTTCTCTTTTTTTTTTTTTTTTTTCCCCCTCTCTGGACTTTAGCAAAGTTGATAACCTTACACTGCAGTCACCAAATCTGAGGGTATTAACTAATGGAACTCTGATTTGAGAATCCTTAGCAAAGAACAGAGATCAGAAAATTCTATTCTGGAAAAGTATCGTTTTCCACTGTCCCACGTAGTCCAAAGCTAGACCCTGATCTCTCTGTTTTGTTTATCTTAGCTTTAAATATTTTTTTTTTCCCTAAAGATGTATGCAGAAACACTTCCATGCATCTTTATATACCATTTTCATAAAAAAGAAACACCAAAACTGCTCTCTATTTCCTGGAAAGGAAACTTTATTCCTATGAATGGATATACCGTCAACACTAGCAGATAGGCTTTTTGTTTCTGAATCTGATCCTTATAATTTCTGATAGGAATACATAATAAGACATTATGCTAGTTACTTGCTGTCACAATGCCATTAATTTAAAAATCAGCATGTTTTAATCAGACTGTCTCACAACAGTAAACTTAATCCACTGGGAAAGGGCTGGGGGGAAATCTTATAATTGTGAATGCTAAAAACGTGTCAGAAGATTTCACTATTTTCACCTCCTCAAAGAAATGTTCTCTGTGTAAGTACAACTCATTAATGAAAATGAGGGTGCAAGATGTAGTGTCATGCTTTTGTTTATCTAGTTATCTATTTAACTTTCCAGGAGGGCATTGAAGTTCTTGGGAGGTTTCAGCAGTGATAACACACACTGTAGCTTTGACGAGACTGTGGGTATTACCTGACCAGTATCTTGCGGTGGAAAAATGCCCAGATTTTGCACAACTCTTGGTAATGAGAGAACAAATACTCTCATTAGGAATTATTTTAGATTTACACTAGGCTTGAGCACAGTCACCAAACAGATGAAGTACTTCCAACTTACAGCTAGCACTTCAGCTGTGTTCTAATGTGTTACAACTTCTCTTTTTTTAGCAAAAGATGCTTATTTACAAGATGTTAGTGATTTATGAGAACCTGGACAACTGCATAAAGATTTGTGCTAATTAACAAATACCATTAAATCACAGGGTGCTGGTGAAATGGTTAATGAAGCTGCCCTTGCTATGGAATATGGAGCATCATGTGAAGATGTAGCCAGAGTTTGCCATGCCCATCCAGTAAGTATTTTTCTAATCAGGCTGTTGAACACCAGGGTTACACGGACGTGCTATAATTCCATGTGACTACTAATGACTTGTACCTTTTTGTGTTTGCTCTCTACAGACGGTGTCCGAAGCCTTCAGGGAAGCAAACCTAGCAGCATCTTTTGGCAAAGCTATCAACTTCTAAAATGAAGGAGCAGATCTTTGTACGTGTATAGTACATCTCTGAAAATGGATTGTGGGCCCTTACAGAACGCTGAGTCTGAGGATTTTAGGACTGAATTAAGTGATTATCTTCATTGTAAACATCGAATATTTAAACAAGTAGAATTTGGAACAAGTGGAATTATCCACTTGTCTCTGTAAATTAAATACTTAAAATCACATGTTTATTTACATGATGAATGTTACAGAAAAACAGCCTGACAGAACTTTTCTCTTCTTCAAAACCAAACATTTCACTGCTGCATGGGACTGTCAGGTATGCTGGTCGAAACTCTGTGTCCAGCATACCTGGTGTTTTCTTATTTGAAGTAGTGACAGACTAAACCGTGGAACGCTGGCACTTAATAATGCGCTGGCACTTCAAAATGCCACTGTCACTTCCGCACAAAAACATGTTTCCTTCTGAAAGGATTAACTTTAGAATTTAACCTACTTCTTACATACAAGTACCAAAATTTGTTTTGACCTACTAGTTTTAGAATGTTGGGAGAAGAGGGGCTCATAAAGATCCATTAAAACTATATTGACTTTTTAAAGAGAAAATTACTCTGTGTGTGTGATTCTCCACGCATCATGTTTTCATATTGAAAACTCACCGGGAGAAGAACCGAATGCTGGTGGAGAAATGAAAGATTGAAGAGAAATTAATCTTACCACTTAATCTTTGTTTTTAAAGCTTCCATTGTCCAACTTTTTTAAATTTTAAATGCTAAAACTGGGTAGTGAAGCAGCACATGCTGTTAAGTGCTATGACATGAGGGTTATTCTGCACCTTCCACACACAAGGGCTGAAGTGTTAGCTCTCTACACAATTAAGACATACCTTCTCCTCTTCTGTTTTCTATTTTGGGCTCTCTTTCTGTGTCTTCTGTAGCAAGAGAGCTTAATAAATAGTTAACACGGCTGGAGGGTCCTGATTGGCCCTGTTACTCCTTTTAGTGTCTAGTTTGTCAGGTATGTGAAGAAACTCTCAAACAAATGGCATCTTTGGAATATCCATAATGTGTATAAGGAGTGTGCCCAATTCCAGTAGCTTTGTTCTGCCGGGTCCCACTTCTTTTCTTCGCTAGGCTCTTCTGCCTTGAAGTAAACCTTCATACCTACTGGTATTGTGCATGTCCTTTTTCATTATGCCCGTGACATGATAGATGAGAAATGTGCTTTCAGAAAATAGTGCAAAAGCTACTTGGTTTTGTGTATAGACAAGATGGTTGCATCCTCCTGCCTTTCTTTAGAGCTGCTTATTAAGCATTGATCCAGTATCCATACTGATTGACGGCAATATATGCCAATGTTACCATTTTACTAAGATACCAGCTAATCAACAAACACCAGTGATACTGTTCTTCAGGATTTTTTTTTTGTTTGGTTGGTTTTTTAATTTCTCTTGTAAGTGTAGATGGGGTTAAACCCTGACAGCTCATTAAAGTTATCACCATGCCATCAGATGACCCAGCATATCTGTGAACTGGAATAATTAATGTGGATCTGCTTTCAGGTGTTAGTAGGAAGTTGCTGAAGGGAAAGCAAAGGTGAGACAATAATAAGGGAAGAAAAACTTGATTCTTCTAATAAATCTAGACATTTCAGAGTCACTTCTACCTGCTGCAGGTAAATGCTATTAAGTGTTAATCTTGTGCTTTGCAAGTTTTTTCTGGAAGCCTTTTGTGTCCACTCTCCTCACCTCCCTCGATGATTGTGGCAGTCTTACTACAGTTCAGCTTTGAGATTCATCAGTTACAACCTCTCATATTTCATTTTGTTCGTGTTAAATGAAGTTTGGAAAGTCAGGGAAACTATAATCAAGAGTGCTAATCAGGTGCTAATCAAGAATACTGCTAAAATTATGAGGGAGACTATAGTGTCCCAGACACTTGAAAATAAAATTCAAGGCTTTAAGGTTGTTACTGTAGTTATTTCTCTTGCTGTCATTCCTATTCTATTTAACTGTACAAAGAGCATTTGTAAAGGTAAAAGATGAGCTACTGAGTCACCTGTCAATGGTCTGATGGCAGCTGAATGTTGCGAAGTTTGCAGATTGTATTTTTAACAGCTGCAAAGCATACTGACAGTGAAACAGTGTATGATGCTGGTATGCTAATCAATTCCAGTGAGTTAGGTTTGTTGTGGGTTTTTTTTCTTCTCTGTAGCATTTGTAACCTATGCTTAAGGGTAGTTTTTTATTTAAACATACC